AGGGGTTGTTTTTTTGCTTCTCACTTTTGTGGTCCTCAGCTGATTTTTCTCTGAATTAGTGGCCACTGACCCAAAAAAGGTTCCCCGACCCTTCCATAAATAAAGACAACATTCAAATCTTTTATGTTGGATATAATATTTTATTTATTTAAAAATGAAACCTGGCCAACAGGTCCCTAATTGGGGCCCATCCCCCATCTGGCTGCAGCGTCTTAACAATCCTGCATCCTCTCCCCCCACTAGCCCTGAGCCCATCATATACCCAAATCCCCTGCCTTGAGTCCCTGATATACCCTAACCCAGACTCCTATGCCCCTACATTCCCAGCCCCCTACCATAAGATTGACAGAAGACAGGCTGAATGTGGGCATGAAGCTGGATTTGACTAGTAATGTAAATTTCAAATAAATGTGCAAAAAGATGCAGCAGCAGGAGTCCCATTAAATAAAGTCTATAGCATGTTTCATTTATGCTGCTATTCATCATGACAATTATCAATACTATTAAGTTGTATATTTTCAGTCATGCAAATAGGCATTCTTACATGGCTCTTTGTTGACCACGTCTTTTGAATTTTGATGTAGTTTGACTCTTTGGTTTAAAAAGGCTGCCGACCACTGAGTTAGACAAACTACAGTTAATAATTAATTTTTATGAGACTAGATGTACAGGTTGTACCTCCCTTAACCAGGACTCTGGTCTGGCAGCATCCATGGTCTTGCAGGACCATGGTTGTTCCTGGACCACAGAGACCAGGTATAAAGGAGGTTGGGCTGCAGGACAGGAGTGGAGAACAAGGGTCGTGACTCAGCCAGGAGCCCCATGTTAAGGGAAGGGGGATGCAGTAGGGAATTCTGGCCCCTGCTGCCGGATGGTAGCAGGGAGCCAGCAGCGGCTGCAGAGCCCCGGCAGCCCCGTTGCTGCCTGCCCAGTTCTAGCCTGGGAGTGGGGCATGCAAAAGCGGGGCTTGGCTGGTGTCCTAGCACAGGCTATGTTTGGAGGGACCTCCCTTCATTCGATAAATCCCCTTGTTTGGGACCAGTCAGGTCCTGAGAGTGCTGGACAAGGGAGGTACAACTTATAGCATGTTTGTGATGAGATTTAATTGTAACTTTTAAAAATGAGAAACTTAGTATTTTGATGACTAAAAAAACCAAAAACTGATTTAAATAAAAAATCTGTTGATTTTTTTTTTAAAAAACTCTATTTTTTTTAATCCACCCTGCTATGAGCCCAGATACCGTGCTAGTGTGAATAAACTGAAATCACTAGAAAGAGTTAAGTGAAACTAACAATGAGAATTTATCCATTCTCATCACCTGCTCCTCTGTGCCACTGATGGTGCTTCTTGTTGTTATCTTGTTCTGCCTTTGTCTTTGTCTCTTGGGCTACGTCTACACTGCGGCGCTATTTCGGGATACCGGAAGTATCGAAATAGCTATTCCGTGTCTTTTGAGCAAGCCTATTATTTTGAAATATAATGGGTTCGCTATTCCGATGTCCCTGTAAACCTCATTCCGTGAGGATTAGGGGACGTTTTGGAATAGCAAAATGCAGGACAATGTAGCACTTTAAAGACTAACAAGATGGTTTATTAGATGATGAGCTTTCGTGGGCCAGACCCACTTCCTCAGATCAAATAGTGGAAGAAAGTAGTCACAATCATATATACCAAAGGATACAATTTAAAAAAATGAACAAATATGAAAAGGACAAATCACATTGCAGAACAGAAGGGGGATGCGGGGGGGTGGGAAGGGGGAGGAAGGAAGGTAAGTGTCTGTGAATTGCTGATATTAAAGGTAGGGAGAGTGGGATGTTTGTGAGTTAATGGTATTACAGGTGATAATTGGGGAAACTGTCTTGATAATGGGTGAGAAAGTTCAAAGACTTGTTAAGTCCTTGTTGGCAAGTGTCGAATTTTAACATGAATGACAGTTCAGAGGATTCCCTTTCAAGTGCAGATGTAAAAGGTCTTTGTAGCAGAATGCAGGTGGCTAAGTCATTTAGAGAGTGTCCTTTCTGGTTAAAGTGGCAAGAAACTGTTTTCTCTTTGTGATCTTTTGAAATTTGGTGCAGTCTACACGGTGTCAAATTTCGAAATAAGCAATTTTGAAATTAACTTGAAATAAGCTATGCAATTTGCATAGCTCACGTTGTGTAGTTTCTTTTGAGATAAGGGTGCAGTGGAGATGCACCTTTGTTATAAACTTGGATTTTAAGGTCATTAGGACAGGGACTGACTTTTTGTTGTGTTTGTAAAATGGATTCCTGATCCGCGAATGGAGTCACTAGGTAGGATTGCAGTACAAATCCATTAATAATCATAACTAGTCTCTGTTCTCTCCCCTATAAACCATGTTTTTCTGTAATCCACTATATCCTGGCTACTTATCAAATATGTTTCTTCAGTCTGCTCCCAACATAAGTTCCAATCATTTCTTACCTCTGGAATGGGAGACTTTGAAACATGCCTCTTCCTCATCACCATTTCTGAAGCATGCCCATTTACTACTTGTTAGAGGCTATCTGTCTCTCTAGCAGTACCTATTTTTGGGCAAGCACCCCCCATAGACAAATCCTACATACAAGAATGAAATGTCACAAATTTGTAAGACACTCAAGGTATGTCAGTATTGCACCTGGGAGATGAGATTCCCAGCCTAGGTAGGCAGACTTGTGCTAGCTTAGTTCAAGCTAGTCTAATAAAATTATTAGTGTGGTCAGTGTGTCATTGATGGTGGCTTGCACTAGCACTTACCTGACACTGAATGTGAGTTTAGTTGGCTAGCCCAAGATGCCATCAGAGCTATTACATTCATACTTCAGCTCAGAGCTATTTTCAGTGTGCTAGCATGAATATATAGGCAATATATATGAATAAGGACAGGGTAGGCCCACTGCTTAGTGAGGAGGGAGAAGCAGTAACAGGGAACTTGGAAATGGCGGAGATGCTCAATGACTTCTTTGTTTCGGTCTTCACCGAGAAGTCTGGAGGTGTGCCTAACGTAGTGAATACAAGCAGAGAGAGGGTAAGTTTAGAAGATAGGATACACAAAGAACAAGTTAAAAATCACTTAGGAAAGTTAGATGTCAGCAAGTCACCAGGTCCTGATGAAATGCATCCCAGGATACTCAAGGAGCTGATAGAGGAGGTATCTGAGCCTTTAGCTATGATCTTTGAAAAATCATGGCAGACAGGGGAGATTCCAGAAGACTGGAAAAGGGCAAATATTGTGCCCATCTATAAAAAGGGGAATAAGAACAACCCAGGAAATTATAGACCGGTCAGTTTAACGTCTGTCCCAGGGAAGATAATGGAGCAGGTAATTAAGGAAATCATATGCAAACACTTGGAAGGTAATAAAGTGATAGGGAATAGCCAGCATGGGTTTGTGAAGAACAAGTCATGCCAAACTAATCTGATAGCTTTCTTTGATAGGATAACGAGCCTTGTGGATAAGGGAGAAGCGGTGGATGTCATATACCTAGACTTTAGTAAGGCATTTGATACGGTCTCGCATGATATTCTTATTGATAAACTAGGCAAATATAACTTAGATAGGGCCACGATAAGGTGGGTGCATAATTGGCTGGATAACCGTAGTCAGAGAGTTGTTGTTAACGGTTCTAAATCCTGCTGGAAAGGGATAACAAGTGGAGTTCCTCAAGGGTCTGTTTTGGGACCCGTACTGTTCAATATCTTCATCAATGATGTAGATATTGGGATAGAGAGTACTCTTATTAAGTTTGCAGATGATACCAAACTGGGTGGGGTTGCAACTTCTTTGGAGGATAGGGACATAATTCAAAATGACCTTAGCAAGTTAGAGAAATGGTCAGAGGTAAACAGGATGAGGTTTAATAAGGAGAAATGCAGAGTGCTCCACTTAGGAAGGAACAATCAGTTCCATACATACAAGATGGGAAGCGACTGTCTAGGAAGGAGCATGGCGGAAAGGGATCTAGGGGTCATAGTGGACCACAAGTTGAATATGAGTCAACAGTGTGATGCTGTTGCAAAAAAAGCAAATATGATTCTAGGTTGTATTAACAGGTGTGTTGTAAGCAAAACTCGTGAAGTCATTCTGCCGCTCTACTCTGCGCTAGTTAGGCCTCAGCTGGAGTACTGTGTCCAGTTCTGGGCGCCACATTTCAAGAAAGATGTGGAGAAATTGGAAAGGGTACAGAGAAGAGCGACAAGAATGATTAAAGGTCTAGAGAAGCCTATGAAGCCAGGCTTCATGAACTGGGCTTGTTTAGTTTGGAAAAACGAAGATTAAGGGGGGACATGATAGTGGTTTTCAAATATCTAAAAGGGTGTCACAAGGAGGAAGGAGAAAATTTGTTTCTCTTGGTTTCTGAGGACAGGACAAGGAGTAATGGGCTTAAAGTGCAGCAGGGGAGGTTTAGATTGGACATTAGGAAAACATTCCTAACTGTCAGGGTGGTCAAATATTGGAATAAATTGCCAAGGGAGGTGGTGGAATCTCCCTCTCTGGAGATATTTAAGAACAGGTTAGATAGACATCTGTCAGGGATGGTGTAGATGGAGCTTGGTCCTGCCTTGAGGGCGGGGGGCTGGACTCGATGACCTCTCGAGGTCCCTTCCAGTCCTATGATTCTATGAGCTGAAGTAGTGCAAATCTGTTTACATGCATTAGGAATCACACCCTCCTAGCTGCAGTGTAGACAGACCTTTATGATTCTAAAAGGCTAAAAACTGATTTTTTGTAAATTAAGGTAACAAAAAATGTGTTTTTTCTTTTCAAAGAGGGCATATCTACACTACCACACTGCATCGCTGCAGCTGCACTGGTGTAGCATGTCCTGTGGAGACTCATTATATGGATAGGAAAGCATTCTCTCATCAGCATAATCTCTCCACCTCCATGAGAGGCGGAAACTATATTGGCAGGAGAGCCTTGAGCATTATCGTGGTAGCGTAGACTGGACCATAATATAATGATTTGCCTTTCTTTTGTCTCTTCTTTAAACAGGTGCAGCCAGAGAATGCACCGGTCCTTCTTTGGCTCCAAGGTGGACCAGGAGGAACATCAATGTTTGGGCTTTTTGTTGAACATGGCCCATATGTGGTTGACAAGAATTTCACATGTAAGTGCATCTTGTGTTCTAAAGAGTCTTTCTGCTGTTACTTAGGCTTGGTCTGTGCTTAAAACTTAAATCGGTATAGCTATCTGATCATGGGTGTGAAAAAAAAAACCTACAACCCTGACTGAAGCAGCTCTGCTAACCAAATCTCCAGTGTAGATGCAGCTGTGCCAATAGAGGAATGCTTTTGTCAGTGTAACTAACATCATTTGGGGAGGTGGTATTCCAACACTGGCAGAAAAAAAAACTACTTCTGTTGGTGTACATTGGGTCTATAGTAGAAGCTTTGCCAGCACCGAATCTGTAGTGTAGACTTAGCCCTAGGTTTATACCTTGCAGTGAAGAGCTTTAACTTCTAGCTATGGAATTATTTTCTCTTTTCTGTATTCTGATTGCTGTGTCTGTGACCCAGAGCAATTTGAATACTATTTGGTTTATCTTCTGATATTATTTGTTCTGTGTATGTTTTGGAATGTATTATATTTCAACACAGGAAGCTAACTAAAACTTTAAGAAACATTAAGAATATTTCTAAAAAGATTTGTGACTTTCTGGTCACTTTGCTACTAAAATAAGCCTTTTCTTTTCATTCATCATGAAAATAACCATTATTTTGTGAAAGGAGTGGGGAATAGAACTGACTCCTCCCCCTTATTTTTTAAGGAATGGGCTTAGATTTCAGCATGCTATGTGAGGCATTGCATTAACTCCTGAATGTACAGAAGTAAAGTTAGTGTTCACTTTTTGGGGAGGTAGAGGGGAGTAGAAAATAGTTAAGTCTCAAAAACGCTGGTTCAGATTGGCCCTGGTCAAACAGCACACGTACATAATCTTGTGGAAGCCAGTGGAGCTAAGTGTCTATTTTGCTGGATAAGGGACAGAGAGTGCTAAAGATCTGTATGCTTTAGTATCTATTTGAATGTCACGAGATCAGACTCGTTTTGACTGGATTAAGAGCATCCCTTTTTGCAGTACTTCCTTGATTCCCCTTGTTACGGGGTACAGGGGCTCACCCCATCCCGGGCAGTCCCGCTGCCCCGTTCGCTGTCTCAGTCATTAAACGGTCTTCATTAAACGGTGTCCAGGTCTTCATTAAACGGTGTCTAGTCAACCCTCCCTTTGGTCACCCAGACGATCCCTCGAGCGAGAAGGTGAGGGGGGTCCGGGCCCGCCCTCTCTCCAGACCCCATCCCAGGGCCCCAAGGCGGGGATGACTAACCTCTCTCCCCCAACCTGGCTGATGGGGCACAGAGCCTCAACACATCAGCCCGCGGGCTCCAGTATGCACCCGCCCTGGGCTACTTCCTCACGCCCTCGCTCGTCCGCTCACCAGTCGGCTTGTTTCCTTGTGCCTCTCAGTCCCTTCATCCGGCGTCCTACTCCTCCTCCTCGCCTCTCCTTCCCCTCCTGACTCTGCGGTTTTTATACCTGGGGAGGGTGCCGCCCCCTCCCCTCCAGAACACCTGCACCTGCATTCGCCCGCAGCGCCACCCTCTCCTCCCCAGCTGTCGTCACTCACCCCCGGCATTCTCCTTGCCGCCAGCATCAGTGGGGAATAGGGCTGCCCGGGGGCATCTGCAGGGTCCTCTCCTGTTGCCCCCGTCTCTCCCAGCACGGGGGGCACTTCCCCCGTGGTGCTCGGGGCTACGTCAGTTAAGCCGCCTGCCGAGTGGCGCATCCCGGTTGCCCCGCCGACCGCATCTTCGGCAGCTGCGAGAAAAGCCGCACCGCTTCTCCCTGCCTCGCTGGGGGACACACCCTCTGTGCGGGGTTGCCTCACCCCGTCACCCCCTGTGGTGTTCGGGGCCACGCCGGCTAAGCCGCCTGCCGAGCGGCGCGTCCCAGCTGCCCCGCCGACCGCGTCCTCAGCAGCAGCAGGAAAAGCCGTGCCGCTTCTCTCTGCCTCGTTGGGGGGGGCACCCTTAGTGCAGGGTTGCCTCACCCTGTCACACACCTCCCCCTCTAAGTTGAGTTCCGGGGATTCTTTTGCCCCCTCTGTCTCCTCCACGCTTCGCGATAGGAAGTCTGTGTTCTGGTGCATCACTCCTGGGTGGCGTATCACCTGGAAACAGTACGGTTGGAGAGCTAAATACCACCGCGTTATTCGTGCATTTGTCTCTTTCATCGACTGGATCCACTTCAATGGTGCGTGGTCTGTGATTAGTAGGAACCGGTCTCCTAGAAGATGATAACGTAAAGCCTCAATGGCCCACTTGACTGCCAGGGCCTCTTTTTCAATAGTCTAATAGTTTTTCTCCCGGTCGAACAGTTTGCGACTCATATATAATATTGGATGTTCCTCCCCTTCCACTTCCTGCGCTAGTACTGCCCTTAACCCCACCTCCGAGGCATCCGTTTGCAGGATAAACGGTTTCGAGAAGTCTGGTTTTCGCAATATGGGGGTGGACACGAGGCGCCATTTGATGGTGTCAAACGCCTTTCTGCCCCTCTTGGTCCAGCACACTTTTTGGGGTTGGCTATTTCGTGTCATGTCCGTCAACGGCGCCGCTAGGGTAGCAAAGTTGGCTATGAACCGTTTATAGTACCCTGCTAACCCCAGAAATTGATGTACCTGTCTCTTGGTTACCGGTAAAGGACAGTCCTGCACCGCACTCACCTTGTCTGCTAAGGGCTTCAGACGTCCTCCCCCCACGGTATAGCCTAGGTATGACACTTCCCAGCGTCCAAACCTGCATTTCTTTGGATTTGCTGTCAAACCGGTCTCCGCCAGTGTCTCGAGTATGGCCCACACATGCTTCAGATGTTGACTCCAGGTTGTGCTAAAGATGACGATGTTGTCTATATACGCAACGGCGTAGGTCTGGTGCTTCCGCAGTATTCGATCCATGAGTCGCTGGAATGTCGCAGCTGCGCCATGGAGCCCGAACGGCATAGTCACAAATTGGTATAGCCCAAAGGGGGTTGCGAAGGCGGTCTTCTCTCTGGCTTCGGGGGCCGGGGGATTTGCCAATAGCCTTTCGTGAGGTCAGTCATGGAGAGGTATTGGGCTTCTCCAATTCGTTCGAGCAACGTGTCCACCCGAGGCATGGGGTAGGCATCGAAGCATGAGATAGCATTCACTCCACGGAAGTCTATACAGAACTGTAGTGTCTTGTCTGCTTTTGGAACCAACACTATTGGGCTCCGTCAGTCGCTATGCGACTCTTCCACTACCCCCCACTGTAACATCATCTGTAACTCCTGTTTTCGGGATCCCACAACTTCCATGGTAATGGCCTGAGGGGGTTACGGACTCTTCCCGGGTTCAGTGTCTATCTCGTGGTTAGCGAGGGTGGTCTTATCTGGTTGGCTCGTCAGTACGTGTGGAAACGTCTGTAGCAACTGTTCCATCTTTTTCCTTTGTGTGGGCGTCAGCTCCTCTTCTATCCAGGGCTCCTTCTCCATCTCACACCAAGGCTGAGGTCTAACTCGGGGGGCCGGGGATCAATAAAGAGTGCTTCTTGGGGTTTCCACCTCTTTAGTAGGTTCACATGATATATCTGAGTGTCCTTCTTTCTTCCCTGTAATCTTATCTCATAGTCCACCTTCCCGACCCTCCTTAGGATCTAGAATGGGCCTTGCCACTTCACCATCAACTTAGAGTCCTGGTCTGGTAATAGCAACAGGACCCGGTCCCCCGGTGCGAACTCCCTCAATCGGGCCCCCTGGTTGTATCGGCTTTCCTGGTGTTCCTGGGCCTTTTCTAAATTGCTTTTTGCTAATTCCCCCAGGGCCCACAACCTTTCACGGAGGTGCAGCACATACTGGACTGTCCCCCGGGCCCTCGACTCTTATTCCTCCCAGTTTTCTTTCAACAGGTCTAATATTCCCCGTGGTTGCCGCCCGTACAACAATTCAAACGGGGAGTACCCCGAGGAAGCCTGGGGCACTTCCCTGATGGCGAACAACAGGGCTGGCAACATCTTATCCCAATCTTGGGGATCGTCATGTATGAACCGCCTTAGCATCAATTTGAGCGTCTTGTTAAATCATTCTACTAGGCCGTCAGTTTGGGGGTGATACACGGAGGTGTGTAGTGTTTTAATTCGCAACATCTGGCAGTGTTCGCTCATTATCCGGGATGTTACATGCGGGCCTTGCTCCGTTAATACCTCCCGCGCTCACGGGGGCCGTGGTGGACCGCAACGGGACTGCCTCCGGGTATCGGGTTGCATAGTCTATTAAGACCAATATAAATTGGTGCCCCCGGCCCGACTTTTCTACCGGCCCTACCAGGTCGAAAGCCACCCGCTCGAATGGGACCCCGACTACTGGGAGTGGGACAAGCGGGGCCCTCGGGACCCCCGCTGGGGCCGTCTGTTGGCAGTGGGGGCACAAATCACAAAAGTCCGGCGTCAGCTCCTCTTCTATCCAGGGCTCCTTCTCCATCTCACACCAAGGCTGAGGTCTAACTCGGGGGGCATGCGCCAACTCCAACACCCGCCACCTGTACCGGGTGGGGACTAACAACTGGCGTACCGTCTCGCATCCCTCCCTTTCCTGGGTCCCCTCGTACCTCAAATCGGGGGCTTTGGACGTAGATCTCTTGAGTCCCGTCTCCTGCGTCTGGAGTTGCGGCTTGTTCCCAGGCTCGTTGGAGCGATGGGTTCTCACGCTGAAGCTGGATGAAGTCGCCTTCGTCTACATCCAGGTTAACCGGCTGAGCGTCTTCTCCGGTGTCGGTCGGATTGGACCCTTCCGTTGTTCGCCCGATAACCGGGGCTTGGGCTTCTTCTACCTATGCCACCTCTGGTACCTCTTCCCCGGGGTTGTTCTCTGGTGGCGTCGCTGACTGCCCCCATTGTCGTAGCAGGGGGCTCAGACCCGGCCAGTCATATCCTAATAGCGCCGGGTATGCCAGGTTTGGGGCTAACGCCACCCGCCACGTCTCCGTATACCGTCCGTCTTCTATCCGTACCCAGGCCGTCAGGTAAGGGCGGATGTCCCTGTGGGCACACTGCATCCAAATGGGCCCTCCGGTAGCCGCTCCCCCTTCGACCAAGTTGGCCCGCACCATTTGTTTGTCCACAGCTGGAGTCCACCAGTGCTTCCACGACGCGGCCCCCCCACCTTTATCCTCGCCATCACTTTACTCGGAAGGTTTTTGCAGTCCTGGGCTTCTGAGGTCATCACTGTCCCAAATGTACAGTCCATTAGGGGGCACTCCCGGTGGAAGTGGCCCTCCTGCCCTCATTGGAAACGTACCAGCTTACTAGGTGGCCCAACCTTCCGTCCGCTGTCTTTCTCGTTAGCAGGCCCCCCCTTCTCACCCTTGGGTTCCTCTACCGGGTTTCGCCACATGGGTGCTAATCTTTGCCCCCATGCTGACCCCGGCTCTGCTGGCTGCCTCTGCTCTCCCCGCCCGGCAGGGCCCTTACTCACGACTGGTGTCCTGCCCGGCTGACCACTTCCCGGAGTCTTCCCGCGCTCCTCTGTCCCTTCCACGGCCATGAAATCCTCCATCAAGGTTACAGCCTCCGCTAGGGTTGAGGGGTGGTGCCGTCGAACCCACCTCTGTCCTTCCCCGGGTAATATCTGTATAAATTGTTCCAAAATGACTATCTCAGCCACCTGCATTCCCGTCTTGGGTTCAGGTTCCAGCCACTGCATCCCGGACTCCTTTTGGCGGTGGGCCACCACACGGGGCCAGTCTCCTGACCGGTATCGTTCTTACCGGAAACGCTGGCGGTACGTTTCGGGGGTTATCCCTACCTGATCTAATATGGCCTCCTTCACTTTATAGTAGTGGAGCGCATCCCTCGCGGGTAACCCCCGGTACGCCATCTGGGCGGGCCCTGACAAGTAGGGAGCCACTATAGTCGCCCAGTGTTCTTCCGGCCATCTTGTCGCGGTGGCCACCCTTTCGAATGTCACGAGGAAGGCCTCTACGTCATCCTCTGGGCCCAACTTTGCTAATCGAATGGGCAACTGGGCCCCGCCAGCTGCGTCTTCCTCCCCTGGCAAGGGGGCTTCCTCTCTCCCTCGTTGGGTCTCCACCACCTGTTGATGTTCCATGAGCTCTCTAACCAGCTGCCGCTGTTGCTCTTGGAACTGCGACGCCAGCTGTTGCACGATCTGAATCTGCTGGTGCTGCTGCTGACGCTGGTTCTCCATCACCCATTCCAACACCTTTGCCGGCTCCATTTGGCGGTCCCCTTAAAAACACAAACCTCCACCCTTAACCTTACTCTAGAGCCACCCTGGCTCTTCTAGCGCCCCCCCCTTACACTCGGGGGCCAGTACCCACATTCTCCACCAGGTGTTACGGGGTACAGGGACTCACCCCGTCCTGGGCAGTCCCGCCGCCCTGTTCACCGTCTCAGTCACTCCCGGTCTTCATTAAACGGTGTCCGGTCAACCCTCCCTTCGGTCGCCCAGACGATCCCTCGAGCGAGGAGGTGAGGGGGGGTCCGGGCCCACCCTCTCTCCAGACCCCAGCCCAGGGCCCTAAGACGGGGACGACTAACCTCTCTCCCCCAACCTGGCTGATGGGGCACAGAGCCTCAACACATCAGCCGCCCTGGGCTGCTTCCTCACGCCCTCGCTTGTCCGCTCTCCAGTCGGCTTGTCCCGCTGTTTCCTTGTGCCTCTCAGTCCCTTCATCCGATGTCCTACTCCTCCTCCTCCTCCTCGCCTCCCTTTCCCCTCCTGACTCTGCGGTTTTTATACCTGGGGAGGGTGCCGCCCCTCCCCTCCAGAATGCCTGCACCTGCGTTCGCCCGTGGCTCCACCCTCTCCTCCCCAGCTGTCGTCACTCACCCCCGGCATCCTCCTTGCCGCCAGCATCAGTGGGGAATAGGGCTGCCCGGGGGCGTCTGCGGGGCCGTCCGCTCCGAGGCTGGCGTTCCTCCTCCGTTGCCCCCGTCTCTCCCAGCAGGGGGGGCACTTCCCCTGCGGTGCTTGGGGCCGTGTCGGCTAAGCCGCCTGCCAAGCGGCACGTCCCGGCTGGCCCGCCGACCGCCTTTTCGGCC